AGTTTCCTGCAGCCTCTTTCCCCCACTGGCAAGCGCCGCAGCTCAGCGACCCACTCACCATGCTGCAAGCGCTACCGGTTTCCGAGACGCAGACACGAACCGCTCAGCTCGCTCGCTCCACTCGGACTAACTCTCCTCCTCCGCCCCCAGCGGCTCATAAACACCTCCCTCCGCGGATCCCTCCGCCGCGTGCCAGATAACGGAACATCGCAAACGAGTTCCGGCCAGCCCCCTCCTCTCAAACTCTCCTCAAGACGTCTTTATCCACAGTGACTTGCTTGACGAGGCAAGCGATAAAGAGAAAGGGGGGGAAGGGTGACGTAAGTGGATTTCATTCCCTCTAGGGCCGTTAAAAGGCCGATAGGGTCGCGCCTGCGGAGCGCTACTTTGCGGCGCGGAGGAGCATCGCGGAGGTAACGCGTACCGCGCTGATCGTTGAGGCGGCCTCTGATTGGCTGGTTCGTACCTGCAATGCGTCATCTGGATCGCAGCCGCCGCCGGGACGTGGTGCGGTTCTTGCCGTTGCTGCGCGCGCCGCGCTGTCCTGGCAACTGCGCCAGGAGGCAGAGTTTCCCGCTTTGCGCTTGGCTGGAGAAGCTTTCTTCTCCACCAGTCCCTCCCTGCCGCGCTCAGACCAACGCTCTCCTGCTCCTACTGAGGGGTAGACGAAAACACCCTAAGTGAAGAAGAAAGAGGAAAGAGCCGATGAACACTTACCCCACGCCCTGCTTTTCAGCCTAGCGCTCCGGGCTCGGGCTCGGGCTCGGGCTCGTGGAGGCCGCACGTTGGCGGGTTCGCTTCCTCGCTGAACCCGTGGAAATCTGGACAAGGACGAATGCAGGCGCTCAGCTGGCAGGCTGATCTGAAAGGGTCTCCCCCCTTTCGTACTTCAGCTGCGCTTTCCTTGCCAAAAGTAATGTATCAGGAAGTCACCAAACCCACAGTGTCCGAGATTCTCTGCCATGGCCTCTCCAAATAGCTCGTTGAGGTTGAGACCCCGCCCTCGGAGAGGATGCTAGGTTTATAGAGGAACTAGGGTGTGATCCTCAAAATGCAGTTCCTCGGGAAGGTTCATGGGAGACTCAGCCCAGAGAGAATCGTCTCAGTCCGTGGCAAGGCCTTAGAAGATTGCCCGGTACCAAACACAGGGATGTTAACTTTTGCAGCCTAGGGAGCAGCATTTTGAGTAAGCCTAGGCGAAATCGCATCCAGTGGGAAGACCCCCCCCATCCAGAACAGTTTCCTGCCCAGCAAGACCATGTTTGATGTTAACAGCAATCTGTACCTACTTCGGTGGAATTTAACCTCCTGTAGCCAGCTCAGACATTTTCTCTCACCATCCAGAGTATTTCCTGTGCTAGGCTAGAGATCTCTCTGAGTCACATATTAAGTGCTCTGCTAATTGGCACCGGCAATCCTGTGACCCTTTCAGGTGAAGGACCAATGAAAAACCAGAACCCTGCGCTTCCGATGTCCTTGCTGATGTAATGATGTAATGGTGGCAGGGAGAGAGGAGATTTAATAAACTTTTTCCTACAAATGAAATACCATTATCGAGCATGTTACTTGAAAGTGTTGCCTCTGCTTCAGAATCAGCCCACCGTTCCACCTCTGCATGCTGACAGCTTCTAAGTCTTTCCAAAGTAATCCTCAGAAAGTTATCTCAAAAGAAAAGGAATGTAAGAGAAAAGTGGAGAGTTACATTTAAACGCATTGTGGTTTATGCATATTTGAGACTGTTCCAAATCAATTTATTTATAGAGCATTTGTCTTCCTGAATATGACATACAGTGCTGCCTGATTGTGGCAGTTAGCTGCTGAGAAGCAAAGTGAGTTTTGACCACCCTGTCAGGTCCTAGGAGGCAAGTGTCACCTCCCCTCAAGGCACACAAACAATGGGGAGATCTCAGGGCTCTCTACCTTGGCCCATCTTGCAAAAGAAGAATGCACTTCCTCCCAGGCCTCTTCCTCATTTACAGAATAGAGTAACTCTTTGACACTTTCTTTCCATGACTTCTGTCCTCCACCCGCTGGCTAATTTACAAAGATAGAGGTACAACCATAGTAGCATTCTTGGGTGTCTCAATAGGTGAAGGATGAAGTCTAAGGGTCCTCAAGTATCAATCACACGTAAGGAGAGTTTTCTCCTGTGTCTCTAAAATGGGTACTGGTTAGGTACCAAACTTGCGAGAACTGAAAAAAACAAAACATAGAACTGAAATCATTTTCTCCTCTTGTTTAGCTAAGGAGTCCTAATTAAGAAAGTCAAGCCATTCTTTCTGCAGGATTATCGGGCAAAAGAAATCTAGGACAGAAATCCAGGCAAGTTATGTTTTACCCATTCTCACCTCAGTGAGGGTGGAAGCGTATAAGGAAAGAACTGAATTCTTCCTCCATCTTGAGGGTTTACGTTCACATGTGCATAGGAAAAGTTGAGGACCTTCAGCTTTGATTTGAAGTGCTGCTATTCATATAAAAAAACTGGGATGTCAGTTTCGGGTGACCGACTGACCACCTGGGTTGCTTAGGACTGAAGGATTTCCTGGATGTTGAACTCTTAGTGGTAACCCCAGATGTTTCCAGGGTGGGCGTGGTGGCACATGCCTGTAATCCCAGCAGTCAGGGGGCTGAGGAAGGAGGATCACTGCTAGTTCCAGGCCAGCCTGGACTACATAGTGAATTTAAGGCCAGTCTGGACTACACAGTGAGACCTTATCTCAAAAAACAAAACAAAACAAACAACAACAACAAAAAACAAAACCAGACATTTCCAAGTGTTTGGTCACTTTAGAAACCAAGACCACTCATTTTAATAAATACCAGTATCTCACTATGTGCTCTAAATGTGCTCTGATAAAAGTTAACTCAGGGCTGGGGATACAGCTCAGAGGTACAGCGCCTGACTGGCAAGAGCAAGGTCGTGAGTTTGATTCTCGGTACCAAATAAATAAATAAATAAATAAATAAAAGTGAACTCAGGAGGCTGAGGAAGCACAAGGAAAATAAGGACAAGAAGAAGACTTCCTAGAGAAGGTAATCTATGACATTTTAGTCCGTTTTCTGTTAATATGACAAATATCTGAAAGTCGTTTCATAAACAGAAGCTTTGTTGGCTCATGGTTCTGGAGGGTAGGAAATCCAAGAGCATTCTGCTTGGCATCTGGGAAGGGACTTCTCGCTGCATCATGGTGTGCTGGTTCAGGCCTCTCTCCCTCTTCATAAAAGCCACTAATGCCTACATGGGGCGCCACCTTCATGAGCTGATCTAATCCTGGATGCCTCCCACAGGCCCCACCTCCAAACACCAGTGTCATGAATTTAGGGATTCAATTTTTACACATGAACCTCAGAGGACACGTGCTAACCGAGCACGTGTGAATCTGAGTAGAGGTAGACAGAAGATGGGGCTCCAAGGCAGGTTGGAGAAACACAGAGGAACAGCGATCATCACCAGTATCCTTAGGGCTGCTGTCCAGAGCACACACTGCCCCGTGAGGTCCATGTGCCAGGAGAGTGGACCGAGGAAGAAGCCTACACAGACCTTGGAAACAGGCTGCGGGAAGGAGCTCTGTGGTCCTGGGGACCTGGAGCAGTCTGGTAGGGATGCAGGATGCTCTGGGTGGAGGCGTGGCCTTGGCCTTGTGTGGAGGGGTACATCTGGAGGACGGCCAGAGCAGACCCTGGAAAGGGAGGCCAAGGCTGACCCTGTCTTACCCAGGCCTACGGGTGGTCTTGGAAAAATTGTTTGCAGCTCCTCCTGGTGACCCCAGAGCATCCCACCCAAAACGGGATCCATGGCTTTCACCTTGAACTTCTCTCTGTTCTGGTCTCACTGAAAATCATCTCCTTCCCCTGTCACCCAGCCCATCTTGCAGTATTTGCTGGCATCTGGGTGTGCATCCTCTTTCTGGCTTCCAAGTCTTTAGTCATGTTGCTCCCTTTCCCTTTCCATGGCCTGCTGGACCTCTACTCATACTTGGCCCAATTGTTACATCCCTATGCTGCCCCCTAACCCCATCAGCTTCTCCCGGCTTGTCCTAAGCCCCTCCCCTAAGGGAGAGGATCACACTCGCTCAGAATATTCCTAGAACACTTTGCGGTAGTATTTCTTTACAGGTTGGTTGTCCCAAGTAGGCTGAGGCCCTTGTGGGGCCTTGGTTTGTGTCCCTTACCTCTGTGCATAGTGTTGGGATGTAGCTGATGCTCAACAAATTTTGTTGAATGAATAGATGGATGAATAAGCAAAGATATCACTTGGTACATGCCTTTTTCATGTGGCTTTTAATAAATACTAGGGTGATTTTTTACAAAGTCTGAGTTGTCTTATAAATAACAAAATTCTCTTTATCTTCTTATGTAAATTACTATTTAAATCAATTTTAAAATGCTAAATATGTGCTTATTCAAATAGTTTTCACCTTATGTTGTCTTTTGTCATTATACAATACTTATTTATACTATTTTTAAATTGTGTTTTTTCCCATCTTAGAGAAGTAATATTCAGACTGTATTAGCTTCAGGAAATTAAGAATTAAAGCAATTAATCACTAGAGAGTTAAAACATTGTGCTTTCACAGCCTGAATGGCTTTCACAGGAAAGAGGTGATCGATAGTTTTGATATATTGAGAGACTACATGGAGATATAAAGTTTTGCAAAGCTTTCTCAAATTTCCTCATTTTCTTATTGGCTTGTTTTCTGAGTATCTTTCAGATGAATAAACAGATAAAAAATTGGGATGTTCCATGGAAGTTGGCATTGTTGGGGACCTCTCTTTCCTTCTATTTTCCATCCCGTCTAACTAGTCAGTATTCCTAGGCTGTACTTATGGACACTGGAGTAAATAATTGTCTGCTTTTTGAATGACTTTAAAATGTTCCAAGTGACCCACTGACCCACCCACCCTTCCTTCTCTTCTTCATTTTCTTTTTTTCCTTTTTAGTTTTTTGGGTTTTTGGTTTTTTTCTGGTACCAGGAATCGAACTCACGACCTTATGCTTGCCAGGCAGGTGCTGTGCCACTGAGCTAAATCCCCAGTCCCCTCTTCTTCATTTTCCATATTTCAGTTTTGTTCATACTCTGCTCCGGGTCACACTGTCTACTGTAATTGTGTGCAACTCTGGGTGTCAGTTTGGACGTTCATCTGCCATTTAGCTCGCTGGCGTTGCATCAGCCACCCTTCTGAGGGGAAATCAGAAGCCAGACCAGGCAGTATGAGAAGGCAGAACTCTGCACGGTGAAGCCAGGAAGTCAAATGTGGACCCTGTAATGGTTTAAGTGGAAGGGTATGGATGAATATCTGCATTTGCTAAATCCTTCATGTTACTTATTATTCAATTTTTGATGTTTTGAAATCATATCAGTACAAGAAAGTATAGTTGCTGGGAAATTATTTCCTTTTGTGGCTTCAGAAAATCTGCAGAGGGTCAGGGATCTAGCTCAGTGGCACAGTACCTGCATGGCAGGCATGAGGTCATGAGTTCAATTCCTGGTACTAAAAAAAAAAAAAAAAAAAAAAAAAAGGAAGGAAAATCTGCAGAGGTTCTTTCCTGGAAGGGAAGAACTCAACTTCTTCCTTGTATGAGGAAATGAGAGTCACTCAAGGAAAACCTCTATGTCTTACATGCACTTCTTGCCTGGGGTGGGTCCAGGATGAAATATCCTCTGAAAGGGCCAGAGATATAGCTCAGTGGCACAAGCACCTGCCTGGCAAGTGCAAGGTCCTGAGTTCAATTCCTGGTACCAAAAAAAAAAAAAGCCTCTGAGAGACATCACCACCCTTGCCACTTAGGTGGGTGTTACAGTAGCATGATTGATTAGCAGTGAAAGAGCTTTTGTTTTTCCAGGTAGAACCCTTCTAACTGCAAAACATTTCCTTAGCAATTCAGTTCTCAATTTAGTTTGAAAACTTTCAAATGTACAGAAAAGCTGAAAGATGAGTACAATAAACTACTGTGTCAGTCATCCTTCCATCCGTGTGACAAAATACCCAAGATACTCACCTTAGAAGGAGAAAAATTTCTTTTGGCTTACAGTTTCAGAGATCTCAGTCCATGGTCATTGCATCTCCTTGCTTTTGAGCCTGGGGTGAGGCAGCACATTGTGGCCACACATGTGGTGGGGGAACTCTGCTCACCTCAGGGCAGCTGGGAAATAAAAAGAGGGAGGAAGGGGCCTGGTCGGAATAGCCTTTTCCATGCCATGCCCGAGTGGCTTTACTTCCTTCTCTTGGCCCCTGCCTCCTAAATGTTCCACGATCACCCAGTACCACCATAGGCTGGTGACCAAGCCTTTACGCATATGAGGAACATTCAAGATCTAAGCCATAGCACCACTCACATACTATGCATTTAGACTCAACAATGGTTAGCAATTCCCACATTTGCTTTCTTTCCCCACAATGCCCTAAATACAGACACTCGGGTCTTTTTGGCTAAATCATTTGTGAGAAAGTTGCTGGGATCATACTGTAGCCTTAAGTTTCAGCACATTTCTCCTAAAATGTGGATGTTCTGCTACAAAACCACAACACTGTTTACATGCTTT